AACAACATTTCAGCTTGGCACATCCCCATTTTCAAAAGTATCTTTGCTACTCTGAGTCCCCCACCTCCTGGCTCCCTTTACTGGAAGTACATCATGCCAGAGGAAGATGCAAGGTGGTATGATCATGCAGGTCAGGATAAGATGTTTAATGTGATTCAGTGATGGAAGAAGGAGCTTGAGGACTTGCAATGACAATGAACTGTACTTTTACATGTCCAGAATGCATTTGTTGTCATCTAGAATTCATTTGTTGTGGTCCTCATCAAATAACTTGTCTGGCACATTTGTAAGTGTGAAACAACACCAATGGTGAGATAATTGGACTAGTTACATGACTCTCTTGTAGTGTCTAAGTGCATGCTACATTGCTGGAACTCCATCATTCTCATCATCATCCTCATTGTCCATATCATTCTGAGCACCTTCCCCTTCATAAGGGACACCAAAGGTAGCAATATATAGACCCAGCTGCTCAACCATGAAGTAGTGATACCCTAATCCTGCAAATTGATGTGGAACCATTCCTATGATGCCAGTAATTGACTTGATGTCAATAATATGCACATCCTCCTCCTGATGTTGGCAAGCATGGATGGTGTGATAAGAGAGTTTGAGTAGGTTGGGGTCAGGGGAGGAAAACATTGTGATCATGGCTACATTTTTCCAAATCCAAGCTGATGCAATATTGGGGTCTTCATTTTGAACAGCAAGACAGGTGAAATACTGGACTTCGCCCATGCATGTGGTCTGGTCAAGCACAAACTACAAGATGTAAGTAGGACACTTAAAGAAATACATGTGTGTTACAGCACCTTCACAAAGCAAGCAGGGCATATCTGATCTGGTTCACAAAGAAGCTCTCTCTATGCTGTCCATGCAATCTGCCCATTGGACAGACAGAGATGTGCCCATTGATGTATTTTGATGCTACCTTCATGGCCTGGATAATGTGAGATTGCTGATGTGGCAAGTCCTTGTGGAAAGATGGGTCATGCATCTTGCTTGTGGAGCAATACATATCCATCTTCTAGTTTAATGGCAGTTGATGGAAATGGTGGCTTTTCAGGGCATAGACTGGGTACCATTGCCTTAAGCACATTGACTTGGCAGTGCTGCACCCCCTCATGAGACAAGTTAGCATATGGGTTTGATGGCTGTTGGATTTCTTGACCTAAGTTTCCAATGGTCCTCTCCATAACCCACTGTGAGTAACAGATGGGTGGACCTTCTTGACTGTCTGCTGCATCAAATGAGATACTTGATGTATGCATGGCCAGATGAAATGCAGTCAGAAAGGGGATCACTGGCAGTAGAGTTCCTCAAAATCAAGGGGCCACTCTGTGAGGAGTACACAAGCATCATGAAGGTTGGAGTTGGGGATCTTACTCTGGCATATGAGTTGGAATCCATGAACTAACTTGCAGAAGTTCTGCCAATAGGGCTTGCCAAGGACTCCATAGAGTAGGGCAGGTGCAAGGTAGAATATATAGACCTGGAATTCCCATGTCTTGTAGCCAGATGAAGTCTTCTTGGTAGGGTTGCATGGCTTGTGATTGAAGGACCTGGGAAGATGTTGCACAGCAGATGAAACAAGAGCACCATGAGTTTCCCATGCCTCCAAAGAAGGTGCTTGTTGATCAGGAAGAAGGTTCTTGAGCACCCTTGAGACTGTAGGCTGGCTGATACCCAGCCTGGAGGCAATAGTGTGAGTAGAATGACCATTACAGGCCAGAGAAATGATGTTTGCCTTCTGAGCAGAGGAGATGGGGTGCATAGTATAGTTAGGAAGCATTGACAACATAGACAGTGGTTAAATAGCTTGGACTGAAATGGTTGCTAAGGTACAATAACCATAGAAACCATCTTTGATGATTTTTGAAATTGTTTTATGTGATATTGGTTGGATTCTGATGGATCCAATACATAGTTACAAAATTGATTCAATGACATGGTGATTTAAATCAAGTATATTGCCATGGATACTAATTCAAATTACATAATCTTTTTCTTGATGGATAGCCCTGTGCAAATGGTTTATGTCATCAACTTACACTTTGGCCTTATTTGTCTTTATTCCTGATCAATTCAACAAACAACCCAAAATGTGCAAACATTGAATCAATTTTTGGAAGATCACTGTATATTGAGGCTGGTAGGCATCCTGGGTCATGGTCATCAACTGGGAATTTTGCCCAGCTGACTGGACTTGGCTGGAACATATACCAGCCCAATAGAATCCCACTGGAGTGCCTTCTGAACCATTGTACATGGCCTGGAGGTTGCAATCCATCCTGGCCAACTGGAGTTAGTTCAGAATTGATGTCAAACAACTGCCACCAGCCCTGGACCTGTGCCAGCCCACTATTTGACCCAGCTGACTGGATTTGGCTGGAACATATACTGGCCCAATACCTGTTGGAACATAAAGTGCCCCTGTGGTACTTGACCACTGCGATGTTTTGGCTGCTTACATAAGCTGAAATAGCGCACATACTTGTAGTATTTCCTACTAGTATTCCCTCAGTAGTTTGTTCACTACTGAGGGTAAGTCCATTCATATTACAAGTATTCTACTATACTGACATCCTGTAGTAGCCTACAGATATTTCTACAATACCATCCCACTGGAGTGCCTTCTGAACCACTGTAACTAGCCTGGAGTTTGTGATCCATCCTGGCCAACTGGAGTTAGTTAGGAATTGATGCCAACCAACTGCCACCAGCCTTGGACCCATGCTGGTCCCCTAGATTCAGCCTGGTAGATACCCTGGCTCACTGGCAATAACAAGGGATCTGACCCAGCTAACTGGAAATGGCAGGAAGTCATACCAGCCCAATAGAATCCCACTAGTGTGCTTTCTGAACCACTGGAAATATCCTGGAGGTTGTGATCCATCTAGCCCACCTGGAATTAGATGAGCATCCATGCCCACAAACCACCACCAGCTTAGCCTCTATTCCAGCTTATTTGCACTATATTTGCACTATACTGGTATGGGTACTGGCTTACTAATACTGGCATGAAACCTGGCTAGCCATATATGCCAACTACCTGCCATAATCCAGGCACCCATCATAGCCCACTTGCATAAGGCCAGTATGTGTCCTGGCATACTAGAAGTGGCCATAACTCATACCAGCCCAATGGATGTGCATTGATATGCCTTCCAACCTACTGGAAATAGTGTGGTGGCTGTCATCCATACCAGCCAACTGGAATTAGCTCAGCATCCATGCCAACTGATTATCACCACCTTGGCATCTGTGCCAGCCCACTAGTATAAGACCAGTATGTTTCCTGGCTTATTGGCATTATCCCAGTATTTGTCCCAGCTTACTGGAATTAGCCTGGCATTCATACCAACCCAATAGAATTACAGTGGAATGCCTTCTGTTTTGAAGGATACTGTAGGTATCCTCAGTAGTGCAACAAGCTACTAATGTATTAGACCAACCTGTAGGTATCTACAGGATATCAGTAAGTATAATACTGGTAGTGAAAGTGAGCTTACCCTCAGTAGTGCAACAAGCTACTGAGGGAACAGTGAATAAACTACTGTAAAATGTGCGCTCTGAGGTGATTATGTAAGCACCCAAACATCGCACCAAAGTGAGCAGAACACAGGGGAGAATATATCTCCAACATCCTGACCCACTGGCAATCACTGACATATGCCAGTGAGTCCAGACCAGGTTAGTACCAGACCTTTCCCAACTTGCCAGAATCCATGCCAGGATTATCCAGGCAAATGCCAGTCCCTCAGATGTATATAGTAGTAACTCCTCAGCCACACTGTGCAGTATGGTGACATCCATCATGGCTATGCTGTGTGACACAATGACAACTCAGAGGTGGGCTTGACTTTAGCCAGTCTGTGCAACACAGCCAATTGTCAACCTTGTTTGGTCATATGATATGGTACAAAGTAGGTACATTATGTGTGTGGTGAAGAAGAAAAAGCCATTGCTTTCTACTGGTCACAAGAAGAAGAGGTTAGCCTTTGCTCTTAAGTATCAGCATTGGACTGTGGAGGACTGGAAGAGAATTATATGGTCAGATGAGACCAAAATCAACAGGATTGGGTCAGATGGACAAGGGTATGTGTGGAAAAAGAAGGGTGAAGGGCTTATTTCCAGAGAGGTCAAAGGTACAGTCAAGTTTGGAGGAGGTTCACTCATGGTTTGGGGATGTATAGGGTGGAATGGTGTTGGGGTCTTGAGTGAGGTTGAGGGAAGGATGGATGCTGAACAGTATGTGGCCATTTTGCAGGATGGGTTACTTCAAAGCATGGAGGAATCTGGAATTCCAGAGGATGACATTATCTTTCAACAAGATAATGACCCCAAGCATACCTCTAGGAGAGCCCAGAAATGGTTTGAAGAGCAGGACATCAAGCTTCTAGACTGGCCTGCACAATCTCCAGACCTCAACCCAATTGAACACACTTGGAATCCCCTCAAAAGATCTCTCTCAGGTCATGAGAGTGCTCCTACAGGAGTTCATCAATTATGGGAAAGGGTGGTAGTGGAGTGGGGGAAGATTTCTGTGGAAGAGTGTCAAAAATGGATAGAAAGCATGCCTAGAAGGGTTGAAGCAGTTATCAAGGCCAAAGGAGCTCATACCAAGTACTAGATAGTTGGATTTTTATAGTCAAAAAACTGTCTGCATGACATGTCATATTCAAATGGTTGCTATTCTATCAATTCCTATCCAAATCACTTAATTCTTGGACCCATAGAAAGCTAAGAGTAAGTACTTTATTTCATACACTCATGGTTTGGGGCTAGGGTTAGGGGTTATTGTGTCTAGCCATAACTAGTGTAAACATGCAAACATGCAGACAGTTTTTTGAGCCACTGTAATTGAACTGGGTGCTGATGACTGCACTGGCATGGTCCCATTGGACAAACTGTGCATGATCATTGAAGACCACAACTGAGAATGTGAAGAACTGAAATTGGGAGTTGAATTGTGTGACCACATACATAGTGATCTGGCCTCACATATTGTTGGCATGAACAGTGTCTCTTTCAAATGGGTCATTGCTTGCATTCAGGTCAAGATCCATGAAGGGATCATACAACATGTGGGGTTTAAGCTCTATGCATAGCTCTGCTGTGGAGAAATCCATCTTTTTAGAAGTCTCTGTGGCCTCCTCATAGAGACAAAAGTCTGGTTTGAGTGGAAAAGTGTCCTTCACTGAACTGCTGCTAGTATTCATAAATATCATACCATGTGCATATCTCTGCAACACTGTTCTCTACATTGACAACTTATGTCAAAGGAAATAGTGAAAATAGTGATAGGACACTTACAAATGGCTCATACATATTATTTTCAGACATTGTGTTAGCAACCTCCTGGAGAGTGTTGAGTTCCTGCTTGCTGAGAGAAGGAGCAGAAGCTGTGGAGTTGGAGCAAGGCAAATAGTCATTCAGGAACTGCAAGGTGTCCACTGGACTGACATATTTGCACTTCATTTCCTCTGTGAGCATTGTCTTTATTTATCCTGTAATGGAGGTGGCTCACAGCTGTAATGTGCAGTGTGGGCTTGTTGTGTGATTGGTGTACTGCCAACATTGGCTGCAGGAGCTGATTTGGATGAGCCTTCATGAATGAAAGACATGAATTGTAATGGGAGGGGGAAAGTGCTTGAATGAGTTCCAGCTGCTTCCAGGCCTGCAGTGTATGCAGGCCAGTATAAAGGCATTGCATGCTCCCCTCACCCATCTCTGCCACATATTGTTCATTTGTAAAGAATGATTGTTGACTCACTGAGATACAGTCAATGTAAGTATATGAGTTGAGCTGGTGGTCAGAGGCAGACAAGTTTGGAAGCAAAAGATGTCCATTTGCACTGCCACCACTGCAATAACACAGATTATTGCCTGAGGCACAGATGGTCCACCAGTACAATGAATTCAAAGCTATGGCAATCTCCAACCCACACCATCAGTGGTTGCTTGAAGAGGATTTGGTTGCATTGTCTGGGGGCATAAATTAGCACATTGTGCACAAGGTGGTTCAAGTGAGTCTATCCACAGTGCTCTTGAGCAGGTCAAGAGTCAGGTGTACCTTCCCATCCCATGATGAGGTGTAATGCCTAAGAGAAGCAAGAGGGTGTCTGATCTCAAGTGCAAACCTGTAGAGAATAGTTATGTAATGTCTCTTGGGCACACCTTGACATATTGCTTTGTCAAGAATGCTTCATGGAGGAGTACTATTGTGAATTCATGATTACCTTTATTTGCATGAAACTAAATTGCACTGGCATTCATAAACCTATGAGACAAGTGACAATGGATTTTAGGATGCAAGTGCCATTATGATCATCCAGTAAACTCATCCCCTAGGAACACTCCACAGTACTAGTATGCTTTTTACATGAAGCCAACTGCATGATTTATGTAGAACATTTTCTCAATCTCAGAGAGGATGGACTCACCATACACCTCACATGACATATCAATGTGAGGTTCAATGTAAGAATTCAACTTGCAGTATCCCAGTAATGTGGATGCCAAATACTATGGGAGGTGAGTAACACACATATTGGTCTGCCCTTCTTGAGCTTGATGCACCCAAACCCAAGAGTGATGTCATTGGATGCAGTAATCCCATATTCCTTTATCCAGCTTGTAATGATGGGATTGGAGACATACCAGAGGTACACACAACAGACACATTTGTTGTGCTCAGTAACTGGCAAGGAAGGTGGCTAACTCTTGCAGCATAGCAAAGACAAACATTTGATGCCAGGCACAGTTGAAACTGAAACTGCTGCAACTGCCAAGGGTCTGATGCCATCTGTGAAGTACTTGATAGTGGCAGAAAGTTGCCTAGTAGCATACATCCCAAAGCCAGTTCATGCCATTGTCATGACACTGGATAACTGGCTAAACTCTTAGTGCAGAGCAGGGGACACATGTCTTCATATGATAATCATACATGTTTACCTTACACAGGACAGCCATACTTGAAATATCATTAGGATTCACGAGTAGTCCTATGCAATTTGTCATGACCATACTGGGCATGAAGAGTAGAATCAGAGTTAACAGCCTTGCCAGCGATGCGCCGAGCAAATATCCCTCTGCCGCGGCCTGCCAAAATGGCAGCATTAAATCACGCACCGGTTCAGAGAAGCCTCGCGGAAGTACTGTGATATGATAGAATGTGGTTTATTCAAGGAACTTGCCTTGTCCGTCAGTAGATTCAATGCTTAGGAATGCTCTGTACGAGGAATCCCTCAAACCTTGAATATCAATGGGTCATACCATACACCACATTTGTCTGCATCTCGTGCAGCCAGAAATCCATAGACTATATCCTCCTTCGTTTGTTCGATTTGGAGCCTTCCAGTACATCTTCCCGCCTATCTTGGACTCTCTGCAGGAAATCAACTTTCTCCAGATAACCACCTCCGCGTCTGTTCGCAGTGAGCTCGTCTTGGGCATCGCTCGACTGGGAAGCGACGTGAGCCCTCCAGTCCATTGCCGACTTGTCGAGTGTAGTAATCTTCTTGGTTTTCGAAGAACCTGGCGTGGGGAGGGCTGGGAGCGTGGTGCGAGGTTTCCGAGGACCGGGTCGTATCCCAGAGGTTGACTTGGAAGCAGGGTCTGGCGTAGCAGATAGAGGTCTTCCTTCTTCTGCCCCTTCGCCGGTGAAGTCGGACTCGTGTAGTCGCCACTTCTTTGCTTCTTCCGATCCTGCAGGAACCTCAACGACTTCTCTAAACCCCCGTCAGTTCCAGTCTCATCGGATGATATACGTGACGCTACTATGCACCCACGTTACATGCTTCCCTGCGAATAGATATCGCCTTTCAATTTTCACCAGCTCCTGGGGGGGTTCCTGCTCCTTTGGTGGCGGATGTGGGGGTAGAGACCGATGCTTGGAAACTAGCCCATAGCGCGCCACGCTCTCTGCTACGGTTAGATGTTGACGGCCAGTCGTCGGCCTCGAGGGATAGCTTACCTTCTTCCGATCAGCGTCTTCCTCTTTCTCAGCGGGTAACTTCTGGCCTATGTCCTTATTTTCGCTTTCGTTTTCTGAGCTGTCAGCCTCTGGCGAGAAATTGGAATGAGACTGTCTTATAGCGCGAATAGAAGTTGTAGGGTACCGTCTGCTGGAGGTACGTAGTCATGGTCGTCGTCTGAATCTGACTCTGGGTTATGGGTGTGATGAGGTGTTATCATAGCCGTTGATGTAGTTGAACGTTGAACGTTATAAAGGTGCTATTGATAATGTGACTTGACTGGTACAACCTTGCAGAGTAGTACATGTACATGTATTTGCGGATGCCTCAAGCTACTATCCTCTCATTCTAATCACTTTTCGTTTGCCTTTCTGCATGCTCCCTCCAGCCATTCCAGGGCCCAGTCCGGCGCCTTGATCCGGCGCGTTCATGCCAGCTTTCACCGTCTCGATCAACACTCCCGTGGGTAATGCTGGTGAATATGCGGGTAGTCTGCTCGCGAGCGGCGGGTGAGGCTCAGGGGGCACAGGCGAGCGTTGCGACTTAGGCTTCTGAGGCTGCAGAGCGGCAGCTGTGCCCGTCTTCGACTTGACTGGCTGCTTTCCCTTGTTCGAAGTAGGTGCCTTGGCTACGGGAGCTGCCAGTGTGGTGGGCTGTAGGGCCGACACCGTGTACGGTGGTCGTGGAATATTGTCGGGTTTGATCCGCTGTATCTGTAACGATATCATCTCCAACAATTGCCTCTCTACGGACCGTGTGGATAAACATTGGGAGGACGGGAGGGTTCCGTGGACTCACTCGTGCCAATGGCATTGTTGATTAACCTGCCGTCTTTCTTCCATTGAACACGAACGCGTCCTGGGTTCTCCCAGTCCCGTGGATGGACTTTGTTAACTTCGTGTATAGTGCCTAGCCCGAGACGGTTTGTCGCGTCCGCAATGTCCTTACTGAGAGGCCACCACACGCTCTTTTCCCGCGCGATCCTGCGTTCTCCGTTTCCGTATGGACGTTTTGCGTCTATATAAATAGGATATATGCACGCCCAACTTTGCAGGAGACCTTGTCAGGCCCCGCGACGGACGCTGTGAGAAGGTGGATGAGAACGTACTGCTTATACGGCGTGATGTCTGTGATAGTATTCGAGGGTAGTGCATCGGAGATTGTGGATGGTGCAGACCTAAAGGACGAGGCAGGTCCTGGCGCTGTGCCTCCGTCATTGTCGTCGTCATCCTCGACGGAGCTGTCCTGGTCATCCGAGGTGGTGATCTCCTCGAGAATGGCGGTGCGAGAGCCAGTGCCGAGAAGAGGCCGAGATGGCAGTGGAAGGTCTGTGTCGTCGTCGAATTCCTCGATAGCTGCTGTTCGTCGAGACATGTTTCTGTTGGATCCAAGTCCAAAGTCGTCGGGGTCGACTGATTCAGTGTTCCCACGCACTTCCATGGTCAAGTTCATTCCGTACGTCCTGCCTGCACCCCGTCCAGAAAGTTGCTGAGCTGGTCTGATCATGCAGGTTTATGTTTTTGTCATTCTGTCTACGACTTGCTGCTGCACAAGAATCCCCCACGACGACGTACGAACCCCAACCAACAGTTGGTCTGTAGGCCATTCGGCGAATGTGAACCTTGTCCCGCCGACGCAGTCAGTTCAACCTTTTCGCATAGGGAGTATCTGATGTCCTGTTAGCTGCACGAACCCTTCTGCCAACCATTTGGCAACCGCCGCCTCATGCACTGCTCCGCTCCTGATCCCGATCCCATTCATACATGGTATCCACATCCGACATCCACATCACTCCCCGTCCCCAGCAAGGGCGAGACACCCGCTTGGCAATCATGCGGCCGCATCCCTGCGCAAGAACGCAGAGACTTTTATGAATTCGTAGGGTGTAATTTGTTCTTTGCCACGACCTCTCTGGTCATTGCGCTCCTGCGTTCAAGACTCATGGAAGCGCGGCAAGCACGGAGACTTGCCGTTCGAATAGGGCTGGTGAGAGGATCAGGATCGGATATACGGTAGAGTTACGCGCTGCATGGGGTAAATGCTTCGTTTGTCCAGTTTTCGTCAGTAATGACGCTTGTATTTGCGTACTCGAGGGAACTAATATTACACCATGGTCAGCCTCACCGCAGACAGTGCTTCAGCCAGGAGTATCGGCTGTTCACGCCAAAATCCCGGCGTGGCAGCTTCGCCCCCCTGAACTGTGCTTGGGATCCATGTCCTAACAGGAGATACTGCGCAGTTGCATTTCGGGGCTAAATCGACGCACTGATCAGTCCGTCCGTGTCATCACAGACAGGTGGTATGTACCTTGCAGCCCGGAAGCAAAACAGCTTTGAAGTCCAACTGCATCGAGCACTTGAATAAATCCATCGCGTGTGTGGGGGATCTGACAGCCCCATGAGCCTGGTCTCTTCCTGTTCTCCATTTGTTCTGATAGTAGGCAGCCGAAAGAGTGGTCTGCGATAGCGGCGTTTCTTTACTCAGGATTTACAGCTTGTCTTACGAAAGGCCATCAGCAGCGTGTTTCTAGCCGCTTTCCCGGAACGGGACCATGCCTGGTGAGGAGAACGTATGTACTGTACGAACACCCGCTCAAGTTCCCTATGATGTCGATTCGTCGGAGAATGGAGCCGACCTTCATTATCACTCGTACGATGCTGCGTGTACGCACTCGTCATATCCGCCAGCACGGTTCATAAATAGGCATGTGCAACAAGCACGGTGACTGCGTACAGGGAGGTTGGCATCAATTGACCAAGATGGACTTCGTTTCCATCTAAATCTACCCCTTCGCTTGCTGATTGGGTATTGGAACGACCTCTTGCGTCTGGACCTGGTGTGGCACCCGGCCAACATGCAATCAATCACAATCGGCCAGTGGCAAGAGAGTTCATTTCGATCGTTTACCACGGCCCCTGGTTTTCCGCTCAGCCCCCGCTCTCCATTCGGCGGTTCGTTGACAAGGCCACCCGATGCTGACGCCCGAAATAGGTTAAGTTGAATGAACTACACATCGTGGCTTAGGGGGCATGCGGCATCTTGCGAACGATGGCATCTCGCTGCCAGCTGAGGCGTGCACTCGATTGGGGGTAATAAGTAAATTAAGCCGCAAAGTGTCGAGGCGAAGCACTGCTACGCAACTCGTGGGTGGGTACTATGCAAATGGGTATTTGGATGCCAATATTTCATATTCATGCTGTAAGTGGTGGTCCCGCTGTTTCGTTTCCGGACAACCTTCAACTTATAGCTGGCATCCGCCGCGACAAGTTACATAAATTCTTGACGGCGATGATACTGCGTTAAAGCTCTCGACTGGATCGGAGGTGGTCGAAGATAGATCGAAGGGGGTGCACACGATGCTAACCCACACCCGGACAAAATATAGAAGGAGGGGGGGGGGGACGCAAGGAGCATACTCGATACCGATACTTGACGGAACGCCGGGCCGTAGCGTGGAAGACATAGACTGCAAAGGGAATGGTGATTCGGAAGACAGGGCCTGGACAGGGCATGCAGGATCCGGGGTGAGATGAAAGTTACGCAGGGAGCCGGCCGAGTGGAACGTTTCGAAGACAGTTCTCAGACCTGTCGACTGATTGGCGCGCATCCAGTGTGGGGATTAGTGTCCGAGGACGATAGGCGCAGACCGGCAGCACAGCTTGGGATGCCGCGTCGGAGGGTTTCGGCTTTTCTTTATATTGTATAATATGTAAATATGTAAGCACCGCAAGGGTTATACTTGGCGCGATGAGACCCCGTTTCAGGCATGTATTTTCCATAGTTGGACACCGCACCCCTCACGGCAGAGGGAGACCCACAGCTGGATCGCGGGACCGAGTGGGATGGCGGTGGTGAGGGCTGGAGCGATGCTGCCATCAGTCAAAGGGTGATATTACATTCACGTTTTGCATTGCACTTAACAGTACTTAAATGATGGTATGTATGATGATGCGATGGTCCGTGCCTTGTTGTAGAAACAGAGACCCCGAAGACAACCAAGTGCGGGGGTTTGCTATTTACACATCCTATTTTCTTCTTGCCCATCTGGTAGTGGTTGCAAGCTGCGAAACATGGCATATGCGACAACGACGGGGAGTGCAGGGCCCATCGGCATAGTCAGGCAGGAAGGATTCCAGCTGCCCTCGCCAGCCAACAGCAACGCTTCCAACTCGCCAGGATCCGATCCCCCCCCGACATCCCCGCCTCCAGACGCCACCCCCTCGTCCTCCTCGTTCATGCACAACAGCAGCGTCTCCTACATCCACGACGCCTTCCGCAAGTTCCCCTCTCACCATGCAAATCAAAATGCGACCCCAACCTCTGCTGCCGTCGACATCGCAGACGAGCTCGCGAGTCTGATCGATCCCCACTCTCACCTGTCTTCGTCAGCCCAACCACACTCCCCAAACACCTATGAAGAACCATACAGTCATAATATATTCGACATATCTGCCCACCCTACCACCTCACACCACCCTCCCCACCCTTTTGCTTTTGCCCGCTCCTCGTCTTCAGCCACTGACATGTATCCCTCCCAACCCGACGTGCCCCTCCAGACACACTCTGGCCACTTCAACACCACCGGGGCCCCTCTCAACTCTGCCATGCGCTTCGACACACACACAGACCCTCCTTCCCACCTCTCCCAATTTAGGCACACTCCCTCTCCCTCTCATCGCTCCCGTTCACGATCCCGCGCTCCATCTGTGGGTCCAGCCAGGGCTGCCGCTGTACGCAGGGACAGACGCGCGAGCTCCATCTCCTCTCATGTCAGCAGTACCTCTCCTCCACCCCGCCCTCATGCCATCCTTATCCCAGGTCGCGGATCCACCGCCATGGGCGGCTTCTTCGTCCCTGGTCAGGCCCAAACACCAAACATCTCAACAGCAGCGGTCCACCCTTGTGATTACAACCTTCCCACTCCCGAAAGCCTCTCCCACTCCTTCGGCTATGGATCTCACCACAACAGTAACATTCCAAATCACGGTCAATTCGGAACTTATGCATCGCCCTCTTCCCCATATTACACGTACAATTCTGCCCCTCCACCTCGTCCCGGGACTCCGACCAGTTTGGGCATCTCCCCCTCCGATGTCGATGCCTTCGGCGGCATCGCCATCACCAACGGGTTAAACATGTCTGCCGTGCCTATGGGTACACCTTGCTCCGTCCATCCTTCCAGTTTACCCGCGACCGTAAGCGCCCCGCTTTCTGGCGGTCCACTCCATCCCGGATCTCATTCAGTGTCTTCCCCTTCGTCTACAAAGATGACACCCGCAGCGAGCGGATTAGCTTCCGCCCCAAAACAACCGGACTCGTACCCTGACAATCAGCTGTCAGAGAAACGTCGAAAACGACGAGAGTCTCATAATGCAGTGGAAAGAAGGAGACGGGACAATATCAACGAACGGATCGGTGAACTTGCAGGCCTCATTCCTGGCGTCTTGTTCGAGTGTGACAGTAAGTGATCTTTCATCTAGTTCGCGGGCCGTGCTGACGTACGTCGCTTCGCTCAAACAATATCTCAATTGAAATCTGCGGAACGTGGCCGTGCGTGCGTGCTCAGCCCCCTTGGTCGTTTCAACCGCGCTCTCGCCAACGACCTCGTCACCGACGGGAATGTCCTTTGGGATGGCTGTCGGCGACGATCCATTCAATATGAACTTGTTCGGCGATTGTGGTATGTCTTTGCTTTAGATTCTACGATTTGTTGGTGCTAACTTTTGGTCGATCAATCAATTTCGTCATACTGTAATGATTACGTATTTTCAATCGTAGGCATGCATGTTCTTCCATCAGATGGGATAGACACCCTTCCAGACCTCCCGGAAGAAAGCGCCGGTATGGGTACGTTGAAAAAGGATCCCGCAGAGGACGGTGAAGACGGTGCGTTGGTTCGTTGCGCGAGAGCGGGCCTATGAATTGATTCCATTTACAACAGGTCACGGCGGGATGCAAGGTCATGTCAACGGCAACGGAAACACGCCAACAGCAAATGGTTCCCATTCCTTGCCTCCATCTTCTGCAAACGGGACGATCCTTACGAACGGCACGGCTTCCACCGCGAGTGGGGATCAGATAACAATCAAAGCGAACAAGGGCATGATTTTACGGAAGGTGAGCCTAGATTTCGAGGTCGGGTTGCTTACGGTGACGATGCACTATGCGGTTTTATTTTTCCATTTACGTGCATGGCTCGCTTGTGTCTGCCGTATTTTTCCTTGCTATTCGGCACTAATTCATGGTTTTTAGTCGGTCGAGTACATCCGCTATCTCCAGCAGCTTGTGTTTGTGCAGGCTTCTAGGGGTCGAGATCTTGAAGAGCAGAACCGCGCGCTCGAGCGAGAACTTGCCACGTTGCGAGGATCGCTTTCACAGCCGCCCGCTACACATGGAGAGCACGGGAACAAGAATGGGAACGTGAAGGGGACTATTGACGGCCGCGAGGAAGGTGGCCTGGACGACAAGTATGAATGGGGTGGCGACATGGACGTCGAGGACGTGCAGCAACGAGCTGTAAGGCCCTGTCATCAGCGGCGCGGCTCGCGATACAAACAACTAGACCAACGGGAGGGGTTGGCCTGTTTACAGGAAGTCGAACTGGAACATGAGGGGGAGCAAGAGAGGAGGGGTAGACAGCGCGAGAGAGGCTTACCAGAGAGGACAACAGGGATCGGGCGGAGTGTAAGCCGTCTGCGGGGAGGGATGGCAATCGGCATTAATGGCATTGGTGTTGGCGGAAGCAGGGAAGGAGGGGATATGGAAATATGACATTATGACAAGATGTGATCCTGGCGTGGCCTCCCTAGGTTCTCGATTCCCGCTATGCCCTCCTTGCGTTCACTGTCGTTGCTTGTTTCCGTGCAACGCTGCCGATCCCTATCTGTTCTTGTCTCCCGGTCTCCACTTACACGCTCTGTCCACACCCGCCCATGATGGACAGACATGCCTACATGATTCTTGATTATTATGGATTTCTGTATGACCCTCGCTCCAGATTGCGGTGACAACTGATACTCCATGCACCTTCACTCGATTCATCGCACTTTCAACTCTTCTCCTGGTCTCTTATATTATCTCGCGCACCTTCCTCTCCCTGTGCAGGTCACTGGTAGACCACGGCGTGACATGCCGTGCCTCTCGTTTTGGTTTCTCACCCGATCCTCATGACAACGCTGAACGACGTGCATCGACGGCCCCCCGAGCCTACACGAGACACCAACATGCGATCCAATCTACCCACTTGAAAAGCTGACCAAAGATTCGTAGAATTCAGTGGCAGTCATACCGAGCTCTTATTTCCCCGCCTTGATTCAACTTGCCAACAACACTAAGCATCTCATACTAAAATGTACCATCACCAATATCGCTTCGCTTGGAGGACCACATTACTACTTACTACCGCTGTTCATTGATTTCTTCTGACCGTCTTTGACTTTTCTTCCACCAATCTTCCTTGCACTGTTTCCATCGTCAGACTACTCAATATTCATCTGTCGTATCAGCGAGCGCTTACACAGCAGATCATCGTCGCTTTACATTTTATATCTACGTAACCAGTACACGATCGCTGTTACAATTTGTTAACATTTCCTCGCTTCTGGCTCTCACACCTTGTGTGTCTTCCGCCCGGTTCGCCGTCGTTGTATTTATGCGCGTCGGTCCATCTAAAAATTCGTTTCTTGGAGTTCCTAGTTGTGTTATAGCGATATCATATCTTTTCATTTGGCAATGGAGCAATGTCAGGGGGTCGCAGTCTGGAAAGTTACCCGGAAGGAAATAGCATAAGAATTAGAGAAAAACAGTGAGAGAGAGGAAACCTCATATGAGGCCTGGCGACCTTGATGACGTTGCTGGGTAATTCTGATAAACGCTCCGGCCTGCTCTATGTAGGAGGCTAACGCCACAGCATCACATCGGACTGAGTTGCCGAAATATCACTGTGAGCAGAACCACCGTTACGTATGGTTTGACTGCTATGTACAGGGTCAAGCAAGCTCAGGCAACGCTTTTTTTGTACCTGCAGCATAGCGGGAGAAGTTTGTGTCATGAGTAGCACCTGTGTACTTTGAAATATCAGAACCAGATCAGGATCAGAGCCTAGAATTACACCCACATTACTCACAGCAAGGGCCGCCGACGTCACCGCGAATAGAAGACTCCCAACAAATCGTGCTGAGTCGATCCGCTAGTTTGGTACCGTATCAGAACTTATCATTACTTTACCATGCGTTCGTCCGTGTCAGTGCTAGGTAAATTGGAGCGCACGATAAAAATTTCTCCCACACATAGATAGAGTTAGTCGAATTGATTGAAATGCCACTTAATCTGCTTGATAAGACTTATAAGGCAAGTACCGCTCACCTGCTCTGTGCAATGTAACGTCGAAGCTATCTGATAGAAGTTCCATTCGAAACCATAAAAGCTTCCCCGGCCGTCGAAATTCACTTGATTTAGGTCCAGCTGGATAGCTCGGATCAACAAGGAATTGCGCTTCCTGGGGATAGTGGCCCATCTAAACTTTACATTGACAGTGAACCGCAAAGGACTGCTGAAAATATCTTACGTAGTCCTTGTCACGTATGTAGTTCCAGTTGGTGGATGTAACTCGCTCACCCTGGCGCAGGGTAGCTTAGGTTCTTGCAATACCAGTTGCCTGATGGCAATGACGGAGGACAACCACAATACCACCGTGGACGATCGAACTGCAATGCCTGAGGACAGCATCTCGCTTCGGGATAACCCGACTTTGTACATGGTTTCCAGGTACGGCGCCGGCAATCCTGAACCCAAAGGACACCACATCAGAAATCAGTATGGTGTCTGGAAAACTGTAAAAGAACCCACCTGAGCGCCATCTGTCTTCCATCATACTCATTATAATAGCATACAGGTGGGAATTGCAAGTATCATTCCGTAAGCTATTACAATGATGTATATATGGCAGAGGCTCGCCACAAGAGAGCATAATTACAAAAGGTCCCAATAGACTAAGATTGCCTCCGCATCCTGGAACACGGCTTTGCAATTTATGTTCCCATCTCACTGTAGTACTTGATAATTTGAGAGAAAAAAAGTAGATAGTTCGTGCATATCCCACTTTGTTAGGGAATACGGTGGTTGTCCCTGAGGCCCGAGCCGGCGGCGCAAAGTATCAGTTTTGGCGCTCTGATATAACACCAAGGCTGGTCTACTGGAAACAGAGACGGAGCAGCCTAGTGCCTCAGAATTGATACGTAGGCAAACTCACAGGGGGGTTGCCTCCTCAATTTGACAACCCCATTTAACCGGAGTTCCTCCGAGTGTTTGGATACGGAAGAAAAGACAGAGACCGTACCTGACAGCATCATGATGTGAAAAAAGTTCTCCTGTCTGTGGCTAATGGAACCAAGGTGTCTTACAGAGATATCCATTGTTCTAACCTATGAAAGGATGGCATGTAAGTTGAGAGGTACAGTAGCCACCAATTCCCGGCCTCTGATAAATATACATAGAGTGGAATGTCAGTGGGCGAAGGAACTGGTTGCAAAGCTACTGGTTCTTATGTTAACGTATCCACACTCCCTGAGGTACATGACCGATCCCTTTCGAAGAGCAAAGAGGTGGGCATTCACGTATTTCCATTACTATCCAATATACGTATCATCGAGGAGTCCAAGAATCGCTTCGAAACTCAGGTATGGCAGCGACTGTGATTGCGGTATCTAGAGCTACTTAGCAGCCTTCAGTTTCCCATGGTAATGCAAAGACTCACTGTTGTAAAGAGACGCTCCATCGGGGACTCCGAGAGGCGAGCATAGCTAACAGGTAACTGTCAAGACTCGCAGCATTGCATCTGAGAAAATGGTGTTCTGACCCTACCGTCTTCTCGAATTCCTGAGGTAACGAAGGCTTTCTGCCTTAGCAACATCTTGTATCTGACGTGCTGTTTGTTTGTAGCCCATCGTCAGCCATCAGGGAGCGACGCAAGACCCACAGTCAAGTTCTTATCATATCCGCGGAACTACCGTTTCACCCAAGGTTACGGATATCATATGTCGCCATGCATCAAACACGCGCCTTGTCTCGTGTCGCAAGCTGCCTATGGGGTGCAAACATACAAGGAAGTCGATCGGACTCTCAAAACCCATTGGAAATGGTGCTAGGTCAGTCCATCTTCAACCCCAAGCCTCACAAGTACCAACATATCTTCAACCATGTCAGGTTCCCCTACACGAGAAGAGCTGCACGAAGTCGCCAAAGTGACTATGCGAATACTGAGATCTTGCGGGATCCCCTGTTTTCTGGTAGGAGGAATGGCATGTTCAGTATACGGAACATCCCGACTTCCCAATGTCAGTCACGTTTGGTACGAGTGAAAGTGAAACACTCACTTGGACACCTTGCCCACAGGATATCGACATGGCAGTCATGACTGACGAGGATGCGGAGTTTGTCAAGTCGCGTCTCGTATGCGGAGATGCTCGGTTTTACCTTGTCAAAGCAAAAAATATTTGGGCCACATACAAAGTCTTGTGGTTCTCCCTCTCAACAAGCTTATATTCGGGATACCGCCGTTCATGCAAGGTTGACATACTGCGGCGCGGCACACTGAATATTCCCTAATGTCGCAACGTCAAAGATTCGAGAAGTCAAGGGATTGCCGGTGGCACCCCTATTATTGCTGTTATGCCTGAAGTTGCAATGCTGGGACCATCATGGGGCAGCCATCGAGTGGCGGTACAGGAGCAAACAACCAGCAGACGCGGGAGATATCAACGAACTGTTGAGGACCGCAGTTGCTAACGGAGAGAATTTGGCGAAGGAACGCTGGATGCCAGAACAGTTTGTGCGGGATGCGGAAGAACGGGTGCGGAGGTTCCTCCATTCCAGTTGGGACACACAAGGGACAAGAAAATGGAAAGCGCTGGGATTCCGAACTGACTGAAATGCGATGCTGCTGACACTAGGGTGGTGATATCGTTCAGATCATGTAAAGAACTGCTTGGACCGCTTGTAGCCCGTGGCTTGAATTGACAACCATTGACCGTGCTACACAAATAAAGACAAACAACAACTTGGAAGTCCGCGAACATGGATTGACGTCCAAAACAGGCAAGTGTTGTCAGAGTGTTGTTGGGGGGAACACAAAGGACAATGGGAAGACGACAAAAGGTGAACTTGGAGAGCACAATGGACACGCACCTCGTCGTTTATTATAGCCCCATTGTTGTTCGTCAGCGAAGACACTCATTATTATACACAGCCGGTCCTGGTATATATCACTCGTCCACCGCCTTTAACTCCTCGTCATTGGATGAATACGTTTCATCCACCTCTTCCTTCGACGACTCCGGATCTGCTCTTCAGTTCAGTTACTCCATACCATCTAGACCTTGCAACCTCTCCATAGCTCACGACCCTCCATGAACATGCGTGAGTACTTCTTTAATGGTGTCGACTGCGACTCACCCTGAACCTCACAGTGTCCGCTCGCCCCTCCCTTAAGCGGTCTCCGCGCACCCGCACCCGGAAACCTTCTCTCTCTTCTCAACGGAAGGCGCGACCGCCTCCTCTCCAAATCATACCAGAACTCTCAGAGAACGAGTCCGAAATATCGCCACCACCTTCCCCAACACCGACTCAACCGTCATTGGTGGTATCAGAATCCCCAAATGAGTGTCCACGTGTAACCCTTTCCGCCTACACGTTTTCGATCGATGACGCCCTCCTCATGTTTCGTGACGAGTCTCCCGGCTCTCCCACCCTCTCTGCTTCCGAGTCCAGTGAAGACGTTCCCACGACGCCTGGTGCGTCAGATGATGAAGGTGGTCTGACGTTGCCTACTCCCCGTATCAACCCCCGTCGCCTTACCATTCGTCCCCTCTGTATCACAAAACCTCATTCATTCATGTCTCTGGCGGAAGAAGACCTCGATATCTTCGGGAAGGAAGCAACCCCTCATGTCTCTTCCTTCCCGGTATGCCAACCCGTTGAGTGTCTAAATCCATCCTCAAAAGCGGAGGATACCAAGGACGACGACTACGACTTCTATGCCAGTGAATTTCAGGATTTCCTCTCGTTCTACTCGGAAAGCTCTTCCACCACTTCTGCCCCTCGCCCTGACTCCATCATCCTTTCGAGCGAAGCTGCGGTCCTAGCCGCGGAAACTTTGGAGCCGAAGCGCGGCGGCCGCAGTAGATTTTCAAAACCGCTTCCGTCTCTACCTCCCCCAACACCTCCGATTACTGTCCCTTCGGCGCGAGCTTCATCCTCAGTACAGATCACAGCGAGAAATTCCTTGATTCGGAGGAAACGCAACGCTCCCTCACTTCCAAATTACCCTCCGCCACCCCCTCCAACAATCAAATCTCGTCCCCCGCCTCGCGTGTCCGTTCCTGCTGATATCAGTACGGCTGATCTAGTTGACGATTTGGGTGCTTCGTCGAAACCCCCAATCCTCCTCGAACAGGTGTGGTTCGACGAGGAAGACGAGGACGAAGACAGTCTCTATTCTCAGCCCTCTTTTGCCTCTACCTCGCACACACGTTCGACGACTCCCTCGGCAGCTACCTCGATCGACGCCATGCATGGCATCGCTTCGCAACCGCGCAAGAGCATTGACTCTGATGCACCGCGCTCTTCCATAGAGTCAGCTGCATCGTCCCAGTCTTCCGAAGTGTGCAGTCCAATCTCTCCATTCTCATTCCCGAGCACGCCTTCGAGCTCTTCACATGGACACAACGATAACTGCGAAAGTGGTCCTTCGCCTGTTCTGCGCAGCCGCTGGTCCACCAGCACGCTTGGCTCTGTCGTGGAACCCAGCCGCACAAGCACGACCGCACTTTTGAGTCCCTTAAAAACCGTATTCGGCGGGCGTTCTCGGCGGGCGATCAACTCGAACGCGCCTTCCCGGCCTTCGCCAGGTGCAGGGTCGCGCTCGCACACCCGTTCTCCTTCCAAACTTCCTGTGCATTTACATATCTTCCCCACAACGCCCTCGCCCCCTATCACACCTGATCGCCATATCCGAAGACGAGGATCTCGTTCGTCGACATCGTCCGCAGGGACCAGCCGTTGGTCCGAGTGCGAGAGTTGCGAATCAGGCGGAAGTTCAGGCAGTGGACTGAGGCGCAAGCCCATTCCCATTGAAATGTTCCTCCGCGTGTGAGGTCGCTCCGAGTTTCGCCGCACCTCTCACTTTGTCTCATATGCTACACTTCGTTATTCTCGTTAATATCTAGTTTTATTTTCCTTAGCAGCCTTGTTCAGTTTTGTGGAGGGACACACCTACATTCACGCCGTTCGCTACATTTGCCTTCTTTCCTTTACAAGCATGCCACGCGCCTATCTCAGCCCGTACGAACTCGTGTAGCCATTATAGAAACAAACCCATTTACTGACGACTCCACAAACCACACATACGTACTCTTTTGTAGCTGTTATTGCATGAATCGAATGATACGATGCTTTTCCTGTAGGTCTATGGCCATACCGATCGCTGGAGCCTGAAGAATCGGTCATTTCGTGCATGTTGCATTGTACACTCAGAGATACTTCGCTGATCCGGCACGGAAGAACCAAGTGCATATTTCAAGTATGCAAATATTGCACACGTACCTATGGTGGAACTTTCCCCTACTTCAATTCCAAGCCAAGCCCAAGTGCGTGCTTCTGGCATTCTTTATTTTTTATAACCTGTCACCATGCAAGCCCTACTCGTTCACTTTCAATGATTCCGGTAAACTTTGCCTCCGAGCCTCCGGAGGGCGAGTGATTCTCATCCGCAAGATGACGAATAAAATACCTCCGATGAAGGCAATAATCTATGTATCACCTTTCTCAGCGCACAGACAGAGTACAACGTAGCGACTGTCACAACTTACCGCGCAGAACAGAGCAGGTGCCCACCAGATATACTGCTTTGTCAACAACGCGCCTGATATCGGAGATCCTGGCGGTCACAGTGGGTTTGGTGCGGAAAACAAAACCGGAACAAAGTTACCCACCAACAAGAAGACCAAACCCTGAGAACAACATATACGTCAGTTTCTCGTAGTCCCCGAATGCCAGACGCCTACCTGTGATGGCGAAACTGATCCCCATACGCACCCTATGATAATCATTTGGAAAGGGACGCAGACTCTCAAGGAACGGTATCGGCAATGACTTACCCAAGCTCGGATGGGTTCGTCGCAATGAGAGCCATGAACGGCGCCATCATTGCGATATCTGTATCCGCTCAATCCGTCAAAAGCATAGCGCGAGAAGATGGAAACGCACTCATCCCAGATAAGAGGCCATACAGGAGCCCAAGTACGATAAAGCTTTCCATGCTACTCAGCCCGATCATTCCTCCGAGTAACACTGCACATGCAAGAGTCGAAAAGATTGTCAAGTCGACGACACCGATGAAGTGGGCAATGACGCCGGCAGACAACCTTCCACAGAAACTAGCGGCATTCACAATGACCAGCTTTGGATTGTCAATAACAAGGATAGGGGCCCAAGTATCCACTGACTGAATAGAATGAAAAGGAGGTACTCAGACCGTGTTGGACGGATTCTAACTGGAAGTAAAAAAATGGGTAGAGGTATGCTGTCTGAAAGAATAGATATCTTTGCAACGTGATCAATGAACGAAGACTTGCAGAGAGCGAGATACTTACGCAGTAACCATTAAGAGGGAAGGTACCTCGGTTACGCACTTCATTGCCGCTTTCCAAGTGTTAACAGGTAAGGCGTCATGCCGTATCTCATACCGAGTACGGATGAGTGAGCATGAAATGAACAGAAGTACTGTGACCAATCCCGCACTGATCCGTACGCCCGTTGCGAACCCGATGGGTCCGTTGATAAGCTTATTTAACATAATTGTGTGCACGACGCCTCCGAGGGATGCTCCAGATGCAACGATTGACATTACAAGAGCTCTTCGTTTGCAGAAATGCTGGGAGAGAACTGCATAGCTGGGCACGTACATCAACCCTTGTGCAACGCCAGACCCAATACCTTGGGCAAGGAAAACCTGAAGCATGTCAGTGAACCTAACGAGGTGAAAGGGGTGAGAATACCTGATAGTAACTCCCCGGTTGTGCCAGAGATAACATGAAGAGCGAGAAGGATTGCAAAAAGGCACCACCGACAAAGACAAGGTAGCTCATATGTAGTTCAGCCATTGCTTCACGCATTTGCAGACAAAATCGCCTCACAAATATCCCCGATCGTGGAGCAGTCCACATATAGGGCCTATGGCTGTTACAAAAAATGCGCTCAAACCGCCAATCCACCTGGAATTTCGCGTCTGAAAACAGAGATATGGGAGGATTAAAGAATACAGACGAAATCGCCGATGGACTCTCGTGTGACAGGTAAACCCGCGAATAATATTCTGAAAGACAGTAAACCAAAATGATATGACAAGTGTCAGCACCTCTTCTGGGGAATTATCCTATGCTTTAGGCAGTACACGGTGCGCACCTTGGTAGACACCAAAAGCGCTTGCATAGCTGTTGCAATGAGTTACCAGCGTGCACCAATCACTCCAGACGTCGTTGACCCACCCAAATCCGCAGAACTGGGCAAGGAAGCTAGAGTGATGATGGGAAGTTAACATGGCGGCCGTTGAAAAGTCAATACTTACGACCCAAGAACAGCACACCATGCTTTCGAACCCCCATCAGGGATTTCATCATGATCGACAACGACGGGAAACGTCAAAGGTGAAGAATCGCTTGGAATGTCCTTGTGGATGATAGGAGCCTTAGAGGCTTGTGAAGGGGATGCCATGGTGCCTACATCTTCCCTGGATGCACAATACATCGCATCTTTATAGACTGCGAAGCGCACATGTTGTAATTGCACTCCTCGCTTGCAGGCCACCCCTGTTATTTGGGATGTGGGAGACTGGTCGATTGCATGTTAGGAAACCCATCTGGAAATTAAGTGTGATACACTGGGCAGCAAGGCCGCAACGAAGATCGTTCCTGGCCCAGCTAGAATGTATGTAATCTCAACGATTCTCCATGGGAGAATAGCGGAAATAGTCAAGTTCATCGGAGGCTTTCGACGGGAATAAGGTAATGCTGAGTCAAGTGTTCCACCCGCTGGAAAACCCGGCAATGTTCAATGACCACACATACGTGTTACTGTCACGAAGGGATTTCTAAATGCAGTACGCCCAAGGCGCAAACTGCAGAACGCTATGGTGGTTCGACATTCAGCAGTGACAGGAGGTTAGACAGGTGACTCACTGGCATGACCTCACTGATGCTTATCATCAAAGTGACATGTTATCGCTGCGAGATAAGTTCTGGGAATGACAGAGAGGGAGGTTACGAGGTCAATACTACCAACACGCACTGCAAACCGCATTGCGGGGCATGGGCATGGAACTGACCTTGTCTAAAAATTATCAGTTGCCTTTAACTCGAATCATTTTCAATATCAGCTGAACATCACGTGGCCTCGAGTGGCTGTGCAAAATTGCTCCAAAATCCTGATTCCTCATAGGGACTGGCAGCTTTGAACATAATCATATCTAGCTATCGCCGCCAGTCCAATTTGACCAATGGGCGCATACTACGACGAGATAGAAATCGAAGATATGACCTGGGATGAAGTAAAGGGTGTGTATCACTACCCATGTCCCTGCGGAGATCGCTTCGAAATTTCTCGGAAGCAGCTCGCAAATTACGAAGATGTCGCGACATGTCCGAGCTGCAGTCTTGTTATTAGGGTTATATATGACCCGGTACGCATTCCATTCCCTCTGCTGACCAGGAAACGCACTCCAACATTGTTTACCATATGCAGTTGGACTTTGAGGACGAACCACCTGACGATGAGTGGGACGCTGGACAGAACGACGAGGATGAGTCAGGAAGGGTCGGAGTCGGATGATGACCACTTCGAAGATGCGCTTGAAAAACTTGTGCTGCATGAGGATGTGAAGGTCCCCAATGTTGCTTTATGTGCCTGAAGCTGGGACCGGTGATTGCATGCGTGGGTTTTTCCGTAGTAATCCCCTATGATGCATGAATCAAATGTTTGCAATAAATGCAGGTTCGCTGGAAAATATAAAATTGTGCACTAGCAGAATACGCTCGCATTGTGTGCTATCTAACTGCCCCTAAAACCGATCTTGATGGCGGGATGTTGTTTTTCTGCATATAGACCAGTAGGACCAATCCTTATTCCTTACGTGTGTGACCTACACTGTTGTTTCTCTCCTGCCGCTGATTTCATCTGTTCTGTCTCAAGGTAAGCATGGTAGCTTGACGCGAGTCTAATAAGGCATTCGGTACTGCTTCCCATCGTGTAACGGTTAAGGCGATGACATCCGAACCTGGGAATCGAAGGACATCGACCGCCAAATGGCGAATTACGGGATGAGGCCAAATTGTACCACATTGACCAAGATTCAAGAATGGGGGTAAGACTGTGGTGCACTCGAATGGAGTGTGTATAATATAATGGTCAAAGCTTGAGAACGATGCTCAAGCTCTGCATACTTCATTCCTTCAGAAAGTATTCTCAGAATCGGTAGACACCTTGCTTGACGGCAGGGCGGAATATGGCATCACCAGGTTGGAAGTGAACGAAGGGGTTAAAATTAGTGAGTGTAACTTCGGAACTTCTGGCAGGTCCAGTGGATCCGAAAACCCAACAACAACCCACTACATCACGATAATGTAGAACGCACCTAGCTAAGTTCAGCCGATGTACGGTACAACAGATACCCAGTGGATAGTGCACAAAGGCTCCTGCATGGTCTTTGGATCTTCGTGCACGTGACCGTGGATGCACGTGAGCGTCTTGCGATCAGAAGGTGCAGTTTTGGTGCAGTTCGTCATATTTTCAGGTCCAACTGAAGTTCCAGGAGCCGGCAATTATGGACACAGAAAATGTCGTAGAACCACCCGTCATGGATGTTGACCGAGACTTCGGTATGGAAACGAGTAATGATGTCTTCCCTCCGGTGTCCGAACACGTCCAACGCCGTTCCAGAAGCCCTGATACCCCGGTCCCCGCTAGCGAGGCACCTATTGCAAACCCCGAACCCACTGAACGAGATGACAAAGCGACGCTTGATCGTGCGTCTGATAGGCCATTGGGCCCACCCGAGGACGTACTGATGGACGTAACGGAAAATGACGAACTCAAGAAAGAATGCCTCCCACCCACTGTGGCTCCAAGCGAGTCGGCACCCGGCGAACCTTCGTCTCGCTCCGAACACTCGTCCAATCCAGAGCTGAGCATGCCTGAAACCCAGTTGCCCCCAGACTCCTTGTCTAATGCACCTTCCACTCCCCTGGGCGCCGAGCAATCGCTACATCCTTCAGCTTCCAGTCTGCGCCTCCCATCAGTATCTTGTTTCGACACCCAATCCGTAGATCGTCCTCTCAACGTATCTGATGCCCTCTCGTATCTTGACGCTGTCAAGGTTCAATTCCACGACCAACCTGAAGTGTACAATCACTTTTTGGACATCATGAAGGACTTCAAGAGTCAGCTGTAAGTCCCCGTTTTCTCATTCTATTCACAGCATCGGTCAATCACACCTCTTTTACGACATACTAGGATAGATACACCTGGCGTCATCCGACGTGTATCACAGTTGTTCAATGGCCACCCAGCGCTTATCCAAGGATTCAACACGTTCTTGCCTGTCGGTTATCGCATTGAATGCTCTTCTGATCCTCAACAGTCTGCATTCATTACAGTAACGACACCGTCAGGTACCGTAGTCCAGTCTACCCATGAAGACTTGCCGGGGCCCAGTGGTAGTACCCAGTGGCCGACATTCACTCATCTTAACGGCCCAGGGGGGAGCAGCACCATGGGAACGGCCCGGACCGATAGCCTTCCATCTGATTCGATCACTTATGGCGTGGACAGCGTTTCGATCGAGCCCGCTGTACAGTACGTGCAGAAGATTAAGCAGCGGTGCGACGAAGGGACGTACCGCCGTTTCTTGGAGATCTTAGGGAGGTATCACAATAGCATGGCAGATGCGGTTGACGAAGTGAGCGTGCCTCGTTCTTACCGCACGTCACTCATTTTCACATTTTCGAATCGATCTAGAGAGAGGTTTCAGCCGAAATTGCCAGGCTTTTCAAGGATGATCCGGATCTACGTTCTGATTTCCGCATATTCATGCCGGAGAAGAGTCAAGCACTCTTCGATGAAACAGAAGAGACTTTCCTAGCGGTCGCTCCATCCGAAAGGCGCACGAGATCAAGCACCCCTTTGGATGGAAGATCTATGAGGCGTAAATCAGACATATCCTTGACTGCTGTTGCGGAAGCTGCAACTATTCCTCAAAAGAGAAAACGCAGAGCCAACGAGCGCGAGAGGGACACCGCTTCTAAAACCAATTTACCTAGGGTAACGTGCTCTTACGGTTATTCATGATAGCACCTTTGACTCAATCAGTTAAAGCCTAAACAAGCCAACGGAGATGGTTACGAACCCATCGGGTCGCCGACATACGGGACCCACTCAACGATGTTCAACCCTCCCGGTATTGGCCTGGACGAGACGCACTTCTTCGATCGCGTCAAGCGTGCAATTAACAATCGTGAAGCGTTTAACGAGTTTTTGAAACTTGTGAATCTTTTCACACAAGAGCTAATTGATACCGCTCGACTGGTCCGCGAGGCCCGTAATTTTCTTGGTGATGGGGATTTAATGCGCCAGTTTCGCGAAATATTATGTTGGGATGATCGTCGAGAAAGAGAACGCTGGATACTGGAAGAACAGCAGCAGCAGCAAGCGTGGGCTAGGGCACAGGGCCAGAGCATACCTAACATGCCACTCAGGCCTGGTCGCATCAACACTGGTCTACAACAAGGGAGTTACCGGAGGATACCAGCAAGCGTTAGTATTTTATTGTTGATCTTCTTGCCCTTTTTGACATAAACTTTCCAGGAGGCTCATGTGGCGTGTTCTGGTCGGGACGAGATGTGCCGGTCCGTGCTGAACGATGAGTGGGTTTCACATCCAACCTGGTCCAGCGAAGATTCCGGATTTGTGGCCCACAAGAAGAATGTTTACGAGGAAGCCTTGCACCGTAGCGAGGAAGAGCGTCACGAGTACGACTTCTACATTGAAGCAATCGTACGGACTATCGCTATGTTGGAACCTATTAACAGCAAGATCGCGCAGCTCAGTGTGGAGGAGCGAGCTGGATATAAATTGAAGCCAAATTTGGGTGGTTCTGGGAAGAGCATCCATCAGAGGATTATTAAGAAGATATACGGTCGGGAAGCTGGTCAGGAGGTTCTCCAAGCAATGCAGGAGACACCAGCTTTGGCGATACCTGTCGTTCTCGTGCGTCTGAAGGCGAAGGAGGAAACGTGGAAACGTGCGCAGAGGGAATGGAACAAGGTTTGGCGTGCGGTAGACGCTCAGAATTACCTGAAGAGTCTCGATCATCAAGCTATTCATTTCAAAATGGCAGACAAGAAGGCAATCACCACAAAAGCCTTCATAGGCCAGATCGAGGCTGCCAGAGACGAACAGATGGACAAACGGTCGTCATATATTGACCCGCTCTTCGCGCGTACACACCCGAAGCACCAGCTGGCCTTTGAGGTTGGGGACATGGCCGTCTTGCAGGATGGTGTCAAGATTACCTTGTCACTGCTGGACCGCATGCAAAACCAGGTCAACGTTGCAGATCGCAAGAAAATAGAAGGATTTTTACGCACTTTTGTGCCTCTTTTTTTTGCTATTGATCCTGATGCCTTCAACCAGACACTTCTGGTCACTCAGGATGTTGGCGACAACGAGACGGGTGACGAGATCAGCAGTGTAGCTGATGATGCCGACACTGCAAGTGCGGCAAGTACAAGTTCTCGCGCGGGAAGCAGAGGCCGGAAAGGTGGTGGCGTATCTTCCGGTGATCTCAGGAAGAAGTTGCTGAAAAGCGAGCAAGCCAAGTCTTCTAACAGGAAGAACCGCGGACAGGATGGTACCTCTCCAGCGGCTTCAAGACCCGTTTCGCCTGGCATCCTAGACAACATACGAGGCGATGAAGGTGATGCTAATGGGGAGCCAAGTTCACAGACGCGTCCCGCTTCGAGAAAGCACGTTTTCCACAGTAACAATGTATGTTATGTATTTCTACGTCTGCTGGAGGTTTGTTTGAAAGACTTTTCTATATGCTTTGGGGTGAGCTGACCGCATTTATGCAGGTGGTATACTCCCGCCTCTCATATTTCAAGAACCTTGGCGCTTCAATGGCCGATGAACCAACAGGTGGGGCACCTGCAACCAAGCTATCTCCCATCGCCGAAATCCCCCAGCTGGACGAGCGCGCTGCTCACGCGGAACATTTCTATGATCTGATGCTTGAATCGTGTGAGAGGTTATTCGACAATGAAGTTGAGCAGCATGTCTTCGAAGAACAGATGCGATATATATTTGGTGTCAAGGTTCGTAACTGGTGAAAACCGTCCTGGCCATGGCTGCATTAAGCGGATGTCACTAGCATGCATACCGAATATTCACTATAGATAAAGTGGTTGGAACGTTGATTAAGCAGGTGAGTTTGAAGAGCCCTTGTAGCAAGAAATTTCGCATGTGTACCCCCGTGACAGGTCCAACTCGTACTCGCAGATCCACGAAGTCAGGAGCTTCTGGAACTTCTGAAGCGTGACAGAGCTCTTCCTTTACCCACCAACCAGGATCAGCTGAATAGTCGCCGCTTGGCAGAGAATATTCTGGGCCCTGACGAGAACGTGTATAGGATTGACTGGGTACGTATTCCATTGTCTTGTCCGATGCTTGCAGAGCTATATCGTCTCTGGCGCCTTGGGTGATCAGATCCAGTCGACAAAAACAATGACGATCCAACTGCTTGGGAAGGATGACTCGATCGCGTACGACGCGGAGATCTTAGCTGAGCGATGGCAAGCGTACATTGACGCATATGTATCGGTGAGTAACTCTCCATGTTTCATTGGCCAGATGGTACTGAAAACAATGGCAGGAAAACGCGACTCGCGGGCTCCCTTCCACGGGTCTGAGAGGACCATTCTTACAAAAGTAGGTGGTTGGTTCTTCTTACACCTTGAGTTGCTTGTCCTAATGCTGACATGGGACTTGGAGAAATCTACCTTTGGATGCGAAGCCAACACCCGACCTGACAGCACAAGGGACGTTGGAAATACGAGTCTGCATTCGGACGTACCGTCTCTTCTATGTTCCTGGCACGGAGGACTACTTGCACCGCAGGTACCAGGATGTGGATGGCCTAGAGAAGAGAGTTAGGAAAGCGAAGGAAAAGCGAAAACGATGGTTGGACAGGGTAAAGGCTGGCGAGGACTGGTTGCCCATACCTGCACGGACGCAAACCCCTATACCAGAGCAGTTACAACAATCTTGACCTATGACCCTTCTTGTAGATTACTTTCACGGGTCGCTGTCGGCGACCACTTTTGCCTTGACTAATATTATTGGTCCTTTGGAGAGCCCGAGCATACCTCTCATTGAATTCGAGACAGCTGTCGAGAATACAGTATCCGGTGTTGGTACTCAATACTCAGCCGCGTGTCGTCACAGCCTCATCCCATCCTGTGATCGTGACAACAGTCACGCGTCGCGTTGGCACGACATAATCACGCGTCGCAGACACTCTGACATACCGCCAACCCTTGTCCAGCAGCGCGCTAGTGAAGCTTCTTTGGAACATAGAACTTTGATTGATCCCAAGCACCGTGAAGTCCACTTTGCGAACTATGAACATGTCCTTCCTTTATGACTCTGACCATATCGGATCTGACGACGTACGTTGGTCATTCTACCTTTCTTAATCACACAATTGTGCACATCCTCTACCAGATGGATGGCGTTCTTGAGATGTCACTCTTAGAACACCAGAATGCAGACGCGAACGTTCGCGCTGCGGGCTCATCCGATGCACTTCCACAGTTTTCGTGCCGAGGTGACCTGGACCTTGACGCTCGCGTGTCTGCGCTGGACGCGGAAATACGAAGCATTGACGATCAGATCGAAAAACTGAAAGAGTGTCGTCGGGATCTTGTCGTAGAAAAAGATGACTTGATACGGCGGCGGCAGGACTCATTACAAACTGTGTCCTCCAGTGCTGCAGCATATGGCCGTGATGGCAAGGGCAAGGGCAGTGCCATCGGAACCATCGATTATACTATCGAATTCAAGTGGGGCCCGCAATTGAAAGGAACGATGAAGAAAGTATTTGGGATCAGTGCTTTTCGCTTGTGCCAGCAGGGGTAAGATCCATGCAATTGTTCTCCTTCTGTACACATTGACCGACACCACGATGTGAGGGTTTGCAATGCAAACATGGATGGACGCGACACAGTTTGCGTAATGCCAACAGGTTGGAGGCTTCCTCTAACATTGCTTCTCTGTGTTCATTCCAGATCAAGGGGGAGGCAAATCTCTTACATATCAACTCCCCGCACTGCTCACCCCTGGGTGCACTTTGGTCATTTCTCCTCTTATTTCGCTCATAACAGATCAGATTCTACACCTAAGGGAGGCCGGAGGTAGCTACACTTTCTCCTCTCGGACCCCCACACTCATACAATGTATGTAGTGGAGGCGGTGATGCTTACCGGAGGAACTTCGAGGGCGGAGGCTAATGAAATCCAACAGCGCCTGTCAGCCATGGCTTCCTCACGGGGTCGGGACCGAGAAATAAAATTATGTTACGTCACAGTCCGTGGGCCTTCACGATCGACCCGCGGTAGCTCTCTAACCGCTAACGTTGCAGCCAGAGAAGATCTCTAAAAATAAGGGATTCTTGTCTCTATTAGGCAAACTCGTCGAAGGCGGAAAGCTGGGTGCGTGATGTCTCATTCGCATGTCATTTGAGGTTCATTCTACACTAGCTCGCATTGTCATCGACGAGGCACATTGTGTTTCACAACTTGGTCATGACTTCAGGTGCCCCTTGAGCTTATTGCATGGACATCAGACCTCAACATGTCTCTTTGCAGGCCAGACTACAAGAAGCTCAGCGCACTTCGCCAATTCTTTCCTCATGTACCATTATTGGCATTGTCTGCGACTTGTCCACCAAAGGTGTTGCAGGACATCTTGAAAATTCTTCACATGAAACCTGTAGTTGAAGGAAAGGGTATGCCCACGTACTGATCCCCTACGTCCTTTAAATATTTACCCAACCGTAGCAGCCTCTCCGCGGGATGGAACGATATACTTCTCGGCTCCACTTTATCGCAAAAATCTACACTACTCAGTGCTTCCAAAGCCACACTCTGCAAAGGAGGCCATATCAGTTATGTCGGATTATATTTTGAATAATCACGAGAATGACTCGGGAATTGTGTATTGCCTTACTAAGAAGGTAAGCGGCCTGTAATCATCCCGCAAGTGACGTCGCTCAGCGGAAATAGGATGCCGAAAGCGTTGCTGAAAACTTACAGGGATGGAGCAATAATCGTATAAAAACTGGCGTGTATCACTCAGAGATTCCTGACGCACAGAAAGAGCGGATTCACAAACGGTGGAGAGAGGGGACCGTACAAGTGGTTTGTGCTACGATAGGTGGGTTCATTTGGTCCCCCGTCTCCCACGACTAACCTCTGCCAGCATTCGGACTAGGGATCGACAAAGGAAATGTCAGATTTGTGTTGCATCACACCGTGCGTGGTTGCATTGTCATCGTTGTGCTCATTCCTTAATCGTGGTCATCACCCAGATATCAGTTAGTGTCTTCGTTTCTGAATGCGATCTTGTGTGACGATTTGTTGTCCTTCAGAAATCTCTCGATGGTTACTACCAGGAGTCTGGACGAGCTGGACGAGATGGACGAGACGCGGATTGTGTACTCTATTACAGACCTCAAGACGCCACGCGGCAGTCATCTATCACTTGCACGGACAAAGACAGTCAAATGAAGCGTAAGTTGAGATTTAAATTCTAGGTTTTTTTCTCTCGCAAGTTCACGCAATGATAAGTACATGATATGTTGCGTTTTGCTCAAGACATGTCGGAATGTCGCAAGATACTGTTTGCAAGGTATGTTTCCGCCTCTACACGAAAGCTCGGGCTGGTATTGTTGCACGCGTAGGTACTTTTCAGCTTCCTCCGACCTCTCCATGGCCTCCTGGACTACACAGGAATCAAGGGCTACAGATCGCTGCGGCCATTGCGACAATTGTACACGGTCACCAGATACCGTTGAGCAACGTGACGTTACCCTTGAGGCCTGGCAAATCCTTAAGATCCTTGAGACCGTTTCAGCGCAGGGGGGACGTCAGACAATAGCCGGTCTCGGCGACATAGCAAGGGGCTTGGGTGGAGGAGCGTTTGAGGCCAGTAGTAAGCGTCGAAAAACCAAGGAGAAGCTACAATTCGACTACGAGGCCATTTCAGGAGGGAAGGTTGAACTTTCGAAGGACGTACGTGCAAGTCCTACTGAACCTTCTCTCATCTTTGATGACATGTGGTTGCAGCACATCGAAACGTTGATCGTGCACCTACTTGTTTCAGGATACCTAAGAGAGGACTTCTCCTCCACCGCATACTCGGTCAATGTGTACGTCACTCCGGCACCACTAGCGATCAGGCTCACGCGGCATACGCGCGCTGAGATCGTGACTGGTAAGGGGCCGAAAATCTGCTGTTCCTTCAGACGAGCACATCGTCGAAGCAAGGGTGCTACCGTGGCTACGATAAATGCGGCACCAACAACTGTGCAAGAAATAGTTGACGGCAGTGATTCAGAAGATGAGGCCATTGCCGGACCTTCGAGTTCCTGCTTACCAAGGCACAGCCTCCGAACGAAAAATAAACGATCTCGTCAAGAATTGGACGAGCCAGAAGGATCCGAGGGCAGCGAAGATTTTACAGAGGAAATACTGATGATAGATGGTGATTCATCGGACAATGGAAGCGATGACGTTGAAGGTCAGGACTGGGAGTACTCGATAAGGCCGACGCGGAGACGGGCGGTCGCGGAGAAGCGGAGGACCACTCTAAGAGATAAGAAGACGAGAACGTATTCGGATATAATATCCCTTTCGTCTGACGGATGAATGTACCATCCCCTAGACAAATTTCGGACAGTTCTATATCTACCAGTGGTACCAGCCAGGAAACAACCTCGTCACAGATGACCGTCGTTTGACCACGCACACTTGACTTGCTTCCGATGTCATCCACGGTGGTCAGTCCCACTGAAGGGTAAGTACGGCGTACGCTCATGGTGTAAGATGAACTTCACGCGAGTTTTCGCGGGTGTAAGACTGCCACCGTGATGCAAGATTACGATGCAATCAAACAACCAGTAAACTTCGCTAGCTTGGATTAGCAATGCCCAGTGGCTGCCAGGAATGGGATGGGAGATATTGACTGGCTATATGAAGACTGCGCTACGGGCTGAGTGATTATCTTTTCAGTCCACCTTTGCTGAAGCCATTGAAAGGCACTTCCCAAGGTCTCGCCACTGCAGTCAAGACGACTTGGGTAACAGACAGCTTGTGGAAGAGCTTGCTCATCAGACTCTTCGAGAATGCTATTGTGCAGAGGATGGGCTACTATGAAGAGCTAAGGACAAGAGCACTTGCCTTATACTTGAGTTAGCAGGTAGCTTTTGAGGAAAGGTTTGTTGGGGCTTGATTGTTCAAATGAACAGTAGATTGTCTATTGTAGATGATAGGGACTCTAGGAGAGATACCCTGAGTTTATATACATGTAGCTGTATGCATGGACCAGTAACATATAAGGAAGGAGCTACAGTATATCTTCTAAATAGAGTAAAGAATAGCAGAGAATGCTATGGAATATGATGTCAACCATGATGTCAGAATGACATCATTGTGGAGCTGCTCGGTAAGCAAAGTCATGTGATATACAACATGTTGATGCATGTGTAAATCTAGAGTTGAAACTATTATGATATTTCCAACACTCCCCCTCGCTCTAGAATGGGAGATTAACAAGACCCATCGACAAGCAATTCGTTTCAAATTTTTGCCATGTCAAAGATTTTGTAAGACCATCTGCTTTTTGTTTATTGGTTTGAACGTATTCAATACCAAATAAACCATCTTGTACACATTCACAGATGAAGTGCCATTGGATGTCAATATGTTTGGAACAACTGTCTGATACAGGATTCTCAGCAATAAAGTGAGCTCCCATATTATCACAGTAAAGAATGGTCTTATCTGTTTTGAGTTTAAGTTCATCAAATAGCATAGTAAGCCATTTGATTTGATGTGCAGCATCACAGAGAGCCATGTACTTGGCTTCTGTAGAGGAGAGTGCAATAGTCTTTTGTTTGTGTGATCACCAAGAAATGAGGGATGTTCCAAGGAACATTGCATAACCAGTAGTAGAATGACATGTGTCTTTATTTGAAGCCCAATCGGAATCTGCAAAGCCAAAGATCCAAGATTTAAGTCCAGAATAATATAAGGCCATTTTTGGTGTAGATGCAATATAGCAAACTATGTGCAGGGCCTTGTTGCAATGATCCTCTGTTGGATTTGCCATATATTGAGACATGTGAATAACTGCATATGCAATGTCTGGACAAGTACCAAGGGCCATATATAGAAGAGAGCTGATGATAGATTGGTACTGGGATCTGAGAGCTGATGTGGCTTGATAATCCAATGGTCCTTTTTCTGGTTGACATCCTGAAGGTAATGGAGTGTGAACATTTCAAGCAGTCTCCATATTAAACCATTTGATGACCTTTTTGATGTAAGGGATCTGATCAAGATAAAGTTCTTTCTTTGATCGATTGTGGTGAATTTGAATGCCAAGGTATTCCTTGACTTCACCAAGGTCTTGGGATTCCCATTTCTTCATAAGTTCTTCTTTCTTGGCTTTCAAAAGACATTTGTCCAATCCTAGGAATAGTCCATCATCGACATAGATGAGGAAAATGATGATGCCAGCTTTTGATGAATAGATATAAATGCCAGCATCCACTTTTGAGCATATGTAGCCCATGCAAAGTAAAGAGGCATGAAGGGCTTTATTCCATGCAAGCACTGCTTGCTTGAGACCATAGAGGGCTCTAAGCAGCCAATATACCTTGTGCTCTTGACCTGAAACTTTGAAACCTTCTGGTTGCTCCATATATATTTCTTCATCAAGGTTGCCATATAAAAAGGCAGTTTTGACATCCAGTGCTTCCATTTCCCAATTCTTTTGGGCAGCAAATGTGAGTAGAATTTGCACTGTTTCAAAGTGAGTGACTGGAGAGAAGGTATCTTCAAAGTTGGTTCTGAATTCTTGTGTGAAGCCTTTAGCCACAAGATGAGCTTTATAATGACCATTGCTTTTGATAGTGAATACCCATTGACATTTAATGAGTTTCCAATCTCTAGGAGGATCCACCAAAGTCCATACTTGTCTTTCCTCAATAGATTTTAGTTCATCTTTCATAGTGTCAAACCATCTCTTTTGTAAATTGGGAGATAACTTTAGCATGTCTTTGTAGTGTTCTGGAGATTCTTTGATCCAGGCAGCAAGAGCAAACTTGAAAGGATGCATCTCTGCTTCCTGATCTGGCATTCCTTTTGGAGATTCCAGAAGTGGAGTAAGTGGTGATCCAGGAGAAGGTGGAGTAGTTCCTTGTGGATGTTCAGTCCACTGATGAGGAACTTCAGGAGGTACCATAACCAGTGGTAAACATGGTGATGGTGGTCTTCTTTCCTCCTGATATCTTCTGATATCTTCCTGAGATTGTTGTGCATGCCTTTCAGCATTGCGAATCCACTCTTGTGCTTGATCCTGATTTTGTTGTATATCTTGTTCAATCTGGATAGGAGGTCTATCTCCATAAATATTTCCAGGACAAAAAACAGGGATAAAACAATGCTTTGGACAAGGTTCTCTGTCTTCATCAGGTGGTTGAGCTCTCCAAACATTTCAGGAGTCACCAGGAATATTTTGTGGTTGGTGAGGATGCTGAATAAGATGAGGGTTGACAGGTGGTACTGCAGCAGGTGCTCTTCTTTGTTGTTGTTTAGCTCTAGGCTGGTCCACAGCTCTATTCTGCTGTGGGTATTGTTGTGGAATAATATTAGGATGAGGTGGTTGCTGGTGATGAGGCAGCAGTTGGATCTGATCAGGATCCGGAAGTGAATGTAGGCTTTCAGAGTCAGAGGATGATGATGATGAATGGTCATCTTTGGAATCAGGGTCAAAGGTTTCAGTCTTTGAATCTGAACAAAAAGGAAAAGAGTCTTCTACAAATTTTGTGGTACAAGAAATAATGATCTTTTGACCATTGAGGAAATGATAGCCTTTTGTGTTTGGTTCATAACCTAAAAATACCATCTCGATTGCATGTGGTTCCAATTTGTCTTTTCGTTGTTCTTTTGGAACCCATACAAAGGCTTTGCAGCTGAAGGTGCAGAAGTAGGAAATGTCAGGTACTTTTCCTAAGAAAAGCTCGACAGGAGTTTTGAAAAGAATCTTTTTTAAAGGAGTTCTGTTGTACACATGAAGTGCACAGTCAAAAGCAAAATTCCAAAAGCGTTTTGGAATGCAAGCATGATGTTGAACAGTACCTGCTTTTTCAGATATGGTCTGATTAAATTGTTCTGTGTGGCCATTTTGCTGTGGTTGGTCAGCAATGGATAACTGATGAGTGATACTGCATGAAGAAAGGAGTGCTTTGAAGGTATGACCCATAAATTCTCCCCCTTGATCTGAATGGAGCGCAAGAAGATGGTGTCCAGTAGTATTCTGAACAGAAACCATCCAATTGGCAAAAGCAGTGTATGTGTTGGATTTATTGCAGAGATAAAGACAACAGCCATAGGAAGAATAGTCATCCAAGAGAGTAAGAATATATTAGGACCAAAAGTAGGATTTGACAGGTAATTCAAGAAGGTCAGCATGGACCAATTTGAGAGGTTTCATAGCATGTTTCCAGGAAGGTTTGAAAGCTTCAGAAGATACTTTGCCTTGTGTGCAACCTTTACATGAGGATAATTCCCCCTGTATTTGTATGTTTGAAGTGCCTAATCTGCAAATGTGCTGAAGAACAGCTTGAGCTGGATGACACATGTGATTATGCCAGAGAGACTCTTGTGAAATCCTAACCAGAGGGAAGAGGACTGCAAACATGTTGGTAGGTGGAAGCAGTATGCCCACAAACCAGTGTAGCAGTGAAGTAGGTGAGGCTACTTTCACCTCAAGTACAATCTGGCTGTCTGGTGCTCAGATCACTTCGCTGGTTAATGTTGCTGTGCTCCTATACCCATTTTTAAGGAGTGCATTTCTTGAGCAAAGCCTCTTTGAAAATAAAGGGCTATAAACAACATTATGTAGTGGCAGGTTATGCCCATTTTCAAGGTGAATAACCACTGTTCCTTCTCCAAGTAATTGTACTCAACTTAACCCAGCAGTTGATGCAAGGGAAGGAGTAGTAAATTCTTGGAAAGTAAGGAAATCAGTTTTAAACAGTGTCACATGATGTGAGGCACCACTATCCAACATCCAGATTGACTCACCTTTTGGTAGGTTCCTAAAAGATGCATGAACACCCAAAGGGTAGCAATCAAAAGCATTGTAAGCATTCCTATCGAATTTGCCAGGGAAATATCCCACAGCTGATTCATTAGGGTCATACTCAATGTCTGGATTATGCTTTATATGAAAAGGTTTACATGGCACAGTATCAGGAATAGATTCATGAAAGTTTCTGAGAGACATAGGGTGGAATTTCTTTTTCTTTAGTAATGGAACTCTGAGAGATCCTCTGTCACCACTATCATGTCCTTGAACATGTCTGGCAGAGATATCATGAGTCCATTTTGTCAACAAAGTTGACCTGCTATCTCTCTTACCATCCCTAATTGCCACCATGATCTCGCGAGCCAGAACAGGATCTCCCACTCATATTGAGGGTGAGATGGGACTACAAGGACATATCCTGTCCTCCCCAGTAGTGGGAAGGGGAATCTGCCTTGGATGAGAGTTCGAAGTCTCCCATTCCCATCATTCCTGTAGGGACTGGTCCACTTGCTGGAGAGCAAGGGCTGCATGATTACAAATAGAACATGTGCAAGGTGTATAATGTTGACACAAATCTTGACTGACTCAACTTGATCTGGTTGGTAATTGG